TCTATGGAAAAATTCATTTTAGGTATTTCGCATGGTAAAGGATGAAAGACAAATTGCCATATAACTTTAAGAATATACCAAGAACATGTTTTTGATTTGCCTCCCACAACTTGTTCCAAATTAACTTGGTAAATTCCAAATTAACTTGGTAAACAATACCATGGTTTCATTTTCATTCACATGCCACTCGCAACAATGCATGACAAATTTGATAAAAATCTTTTTACACAGTTACCGATTCCTTCGAAATAAAAAGAAACAATTGGAACAGACAGCATTATACATATGACGCAAAAAAATCACAAATCATACAAAATTGTTCCTGTCAAATTTTTTCAAAACGGCTTCAAAATGATTCCGCCCCACAGCTGACGATCAAGTTATGAGGGTATAGTATACAATCTTTTTTCATCTATCATAGTATTATCAGCCCCTCTATCTTTACACTAGCATCGTTCACATGACATCTTTTGCAAAAATGCCAGTAATATTTTCTAGAATATAGTTTATGTCTTGACAAGCTATGTTAATTTCAACTTTGTTTTATAAGAATAACTATTTCTGATGCTTTCTGTCAGCCAGGGAGCCGAACGATTTTGGCAGGAACTATTTTTTTCTTGATGTATACAGCTGCTTAAAATAGTTCCTGGACAACCAATGTCAAAGTTATGAAGCAACAATTAGAGATACTTAGCCTGTGGGAGGCATTATTATTTTTAAGCTAAAAATAAAATATATATATCGAAGAAAACTAAATTTTCTTTTCGACTAACTTTTAAAAAAAAAATTTCCGGATAACAAGTCTCGTAAATTTACATCTCTCAATCACATTTATGGAACTGACTTTAAGTAAATTCCCAAACGTCTTTGCGATAAATGTAAATGCTAAAAATAGTAATAAATCATTTCATTCCTAATCAAATACAGTAGACAATAATAAATATATTTTTGAAGCCTACACTTACCTCGACTAAATATATATAATATCAAAAAAGCCTATAGTCAAGATATCAATTCACAAGGATATATTACCCAAGATATTGCTTATCTGTTTCCAATTTATTTACACACAACATAAGAGTGGCTATCCTGAAATTTTCCAGACCTTATTTATGTCAATCAAGCTATTCATGTACTGTTAAAAACCTGATTTTTACAAGCCGTATTACATAAGCAATCATAACCAAAGTTCCGCTAGAACAATCCTCATACAATCAGAGTTACTGTGCTGGCCTTCTGTTCTACTTCCTTCATAAACTATTACATGTAATAAATCTAACTGACCCTAAATCTTTCATCCAGTATAAATGCACAAGGGGCTTCAATAAAGGGATGCTGGAAAATCAATTAACCCACCTGTGAATAATGTTATATCTCCCTTAATGCACCCATATGTCAAAGTAATCAGTGTATAATTGAACCTAGCATCTTATATAATCAATTAATTAAGGGGAAAGCATGCATTACAGTCATACCTTACTCATTTCTGCCAAAGAACAATTACTTTTTGCATGCAAGCTTGTTACAAATGTAATAAAAACAAAAAGATTTTGTGATACCTAATAATTAAAGTCCTTTGAAATAATTATTTTCTCATAGTTAAATTAATGGGTGGATTTTACACAGGGAAATGCACTGAGTACATTTCCTGCTGATAGATACACACTGGAACACCACAGGGACTCATACACTGACCTAAGTACTCTCCCTCTGGGAGTCTATATTACTCTATTCTGGGAGGGAAGAAAAACATTCTAGGAATTGTAAATATTTATACAATAATAAGACTAGAATTATTATGGCATAATACTGACACTTGTGGGACTGACAGAGAAATAGTAAGGGAAGAAATTGTGAGAAAAATGACACTTCCTACAAGTGTCAATTTGTTATTCATTAATCAATTAACTAGCCGCTAATTGCAATTTTTCTTCAGCACCTTATTAATATACATACAAAATAGTCTAGTTATAAAAAAAAACATCATATGTATTAAATAGTATGTTAATTGCAAGATATATACAAAATAAAAACTATGACACATTGCTTGCGGGCAAATTATTATATATTTTGACTAATAAATATCATAATCACTCAAAATATACCACTAAAAATATTTCTTTTGATTTTATATGAATCAGTAGGTATTTTATCTTTCACAGTTATTTACCATATACATCATCTATACAATTATTTTCCACTAAAATCTTGTGGTTTTTTTTATAATTTCTTTTGTTTCAAACCAAAAATTGTGGAAAAATTATTTTTAACTGTAAATAAAAGTTTACGTACATATATTAATCATATTATACACATACATGTATATATACAATTTAATTGATTTATTTATCAATTATTTTATGAAAAAAAAATCCTGATTTTAATTCATTGAAGTAGCATATATAATATGTATAATATACAATATTCCTTACATTTTTTTATATACTTTTAAGAAATAAATTTTAAGGGGAAAAAAAACATAATATTTCATCTTTAAAATCTTTCCTTACTTAAATATTAAGACAAGAATTCTTAAGTGTATAAAAATATAATGAAAATATGACTTATGAAATAGCCCAGATAAAAAAATAGAGAGAAGGAAATTAATTCCTTTCGTATATTTATTTCATCCAAAAGATTTTATTTCAAAAGAGTAATTTTCATAAATTTCATAGTAAACATAACAACAAACTAGACTGGTAGTCAAGAAGGGAGAAATGGCCACCAGAACTGTAATCTGTATTTTATCTCCTGTATCCAGTCTAAAAACCACCTATTTATCTTACAGGATTTTGTAAGGAGATAATATTTTGGAAGATATCTTACATTTCAATTATATATGGTCATCCACCATGTTAATTATATTCAATAGGATTTAGGGGTCTGAGCCCTTCCATCAATCAGATCATTGTACAGGTGTAATGATTATTATCTCGAGCAAAGAGCAATTTAAGAACAAAGACTAAAGCTATCCCCGTTATAAGGGAACCCATTTTATCCCCTATTGAATAACTGTTAACTCTGCGCCACATGTATAATCAATTAGGTTACAAAGTACTAAAATTTACATGTATCTTTTAATCAACAATCCAATTGTGTTTCAATTAGTATTAAACTAAAATAATGCTAATCTGAACTAAAGATTGCCTGTATTTTATTAATTTTCAGACAAAAATCTTATCTGATCTAAAAAGTGATGCCTTTTTTTTATTTTCTGTGAAAAGAAATTATCTTAAAAAGACATGTAATATCCCAGAGATTTCCTTTCATACCACTACCTAGATATTATATTATCTTATATAAGTTCAGATAATAGATAGATGCTGTAGTTTACTGCCAAATTTTCATACAATTCACACAATTCTCCCTCAATTTAAATTTAATTATAATATCAAATTTTACTTATATTTCATAGTATAACTTTTATCTCATTATTATTTTTCCTAATTTTTTTTGTCAACCTAATAAAAGCCATTATATGGATATGAACATGGGAATCTGAATTTTGAAATGAAAACATGTAACAGATACACGATATGTTCTTAAATAATAAATCTTTCAGATTAAAACTTGTAAAGAAAAAATTAAAATACATACATTTCAGAGTCCTGTCCATCCACTATATTTCAATGTATTTTTTTTAAATCACTCTTTCAATATATTGATTTGTTGACTTCTTGCACATGTTTATTTTGCTTTAGATACAGTTAAAATGAATTTTATTTAATTAATTTCAAAGCAATGACCAGTATAATATGGAACAACAAATATGGCAGAAAAATTGAAATCTATATAATCTAGATAATTTTTAAAGATAACATTTTCACAGTATAATGGTTCTGTTGAACATATATAGAAATATACAGGATTACTTTGATAATATTCATAAATCTTAAATAATTTTACATCACTGTTAGAAAAACACAATGATATTTATCTCTAAGTAAATGATAAGAAATTTATTTATTTCACAATAAAACCTTACCCTTTCCCTTTTATGTCAATATCTCAGTAATATGAAAATGAAAGAATTGTTTGTATAAAGTATTTAATTTCTATGCATTATATCATTAAAACAACTCTTTGGGCTGTTGAGCAAGACTGCTAATTCTTTATGAATGCCCAATTTGTTTAGTCAAAAAGCTAAAATCTTTAGAAAAATACCTTGTATCATTGATAGAGAATAGAAAAGAGCAATTCGGTAAATAAACAACTCTTCTGACTTCTGATTTTCACACAATAACATGTGATAAAAAATAATTATTAAGTAATAGAAAGAATGTACATGTTTATACAAAAGAAAGCTGATAGTTTGTATACAAAGAAAAAAAATCGCAGAAAAATATATCCAAAAACTATAACACTTACGGAATTACGGACATCTAACCTTCTATAAATTCGAATGCCTTAGAATTGACCAACATAATTTGTGGCAAATGATTCCTTACAGCCACTTTACAGATATACTGATAAAATTCACCAGAAACCTGACAATTTCCGCGAAAATTTCAATACGACATCACGACCTTTGCCCATCAATAAGCGTTCGACATATTGCACGTGCAAACGGCGACACCGTTAGAATAACATTAACGTGCAAAGAACAATCGAACAAATAATCTTTTTTTCTCCTAGCGAAATTTCAAGTCAAATTTGCATCAGTTAGTTGCCAATTATCTTTTGCTTTGAGAATTATTCTTTTAAAGAAGCTGACTAATATGTATTCATAGAACTTAAATTTATATTTTATTAAAAATCATTGATATTTAAGACTTTATATTATTTTGTTATAATTATTAAAAACTAAAAAAAAACTATTAAAGATATTAGAAAAAATATACATGCATTCGATATCAGACAAATAAATTTTATTAACGATACGTAAAAAATTACATCCAACTTTCAAGAAAAGTACTTAGCTTTTAAAGTAAGGGAAAAGTAAGTAAATAGTATCGAAAACAATCATATATTCCAAAAATTCTTTTTTGTATACAAATTACCTGCTTTTATTTAAAACATATCCTTTTTTCTACTTTTAGAAATTAACATACATAGCAATATATATATCTATTACTTAAAAGATCGGTGCACCCTTCTCTTATGCAAAATCCGCCTCTTTCCTTAGTCCGATAAAACGAAATGCCTACACTTGAACGATAAATACTGTAACGTCCCTTTATTTCTAAAACACTTCAAACTATAAAAATCCGTCGGTAATAAAACTTAAACTCAAAAACTTCATCACTAATATAAATTTTCGCACATATCCGCACAACTTTCACTTTCAAAAAGTTATGTACACCAATAATAATAAACCTTATCTAAAATAAAAAAAAAAATATATAAATAGAAGTCCTTAAATCTTACCGACTGAGTTAGCGGCTATTGCCGGCGACTCTAAGTCGGGATCGTCCACATGCCGTGGTCGGGCCTGCTTGCGACGAGACATTTTCAAGACGCTGAATACATCTATACAATTGTCAATAATAACCAAACGCACACGATATTTCTCTGATTTATTCACATAACAGCCCACTGCGCATGTCTGAAATATGATTATCAATATCGTTGCCCGATTATCATAATCAAATTGTATCGCGCGTTTTGATTGGTTTTGATCCGAGGCTTCAATTATTCGTGTGAATAGCCATGTCGGCTCGGTAAATGAAATATTGGAGAGAATAGAGAATGTATCAGTCGGCTTTTCATAGTTGAATACAAAACATATTGTTATTTTCGCACTATTATCAATAAAAGTCCCTCGGGCCGATGGTAAATTACTTTTATTTCAGGGCACGGGAGATACGTTATGTAATTCTTTTAAATGAACCCGTCATAAGACTTTCCTACTTTTGTTACTTTGATGTGGTAAAAGCCTTATGATCTGCATCCCGTATATTTTTTTTCAGTTTACGCAAATTCAACAGGTTTTAACTCAAGGGAGGGAATCAAAATAGGCATACTGAAGGAAAATGTTTAATAGACATGGTGCAGACGATACAAAACCGTTTGAGCGTTCTTTCAGATCTTTTTTGTAGCTCTTTTTATCTTAAAGATCATTTACAATACAGACTGATTTTTTAAAGAAAATATGAAATATTGCTATGGTAAACGTATGATTTCGTCTTAAGATACGAAATGGGTTGATTTGAGCCCTTTCAGTCGGCTCATTGACTAACTCCTGAATTGTAACCACGTGTCATAATTAAAAACAATTTATGAGATTTTCAGCTAATACGTAAAGATATCTAAATCTAAAATCGAAGAAAATATAATTCCCTTTTGTAAGGATGTAGTAACTTTATATCTTTTTAAACAAAGTACGCACATAAGAATTATTGTTTTGTGTCAAAATTTTTGAAATGTGATACAATCGTTATATGTTTCAAATTAGAGAGGGAGCCACTTAAAATGAAACATGCGTGATTAAATTACGCTCATCTCATAGGGCCTACCTTGTCATCTTATATACATGTGAAAAGAAATTACGCATCCAAAAATTAAATGGCCCCATTTGTTTTCTTTATTTAAATGTATTATTTCACATAACTTCGTACTTATTTAAGATACTTAAGTAAGTGACGGGCATATATTTAAAATGATTACATTTAAACACAGCAACATTTACGGTAAATGCCGGTGTTATTGTGCATTGTTGTGAAAATAGCCCGCACAAAATCATTGTTAAACTAATACAAATGTATAATTTTCTTATATTTATATATATTTGATTTCATTGCTTATATATATAAACACAGAGCTCTATTCTTTTCTGTATTGAGAGTCTCTGATATAAACAAATTTTCCAGAACTTTTTTTTCGGTATTTTTTTCCGCCTCGCCAAGTGCATAAGACAAGAATACTTTCCTAACAAAAAGATTCAAATAAAGCAAATCTAGTGAAATGTTTAACTTAAACTCCTTAATTTAGATATACAGTCACAACAAAATAGTTTTAATGTACGAAAATAATATCAATTTAAAGGAATCTCTTTGATATATCATATATTGTATTATTACACCATCACGGGCCATACGTTCTTATTGAAATTAAAAAAATAAACTTCAAACTTTTCATATGTATATGAAAATCAAATGAAATTTATGAAATTTTATTAAAATGAATTGAAAGGGCTAAAAATCACATATGTAAATATAGTGATAGACGAACGAACAATTTAATAATAATAATAAATGGATACACTTTTTTTCACGACTAAAAGATATAATTGTAAGTCCAACTGCTTTTCTCATGCTTATATAAATTGATAGTAAAAATAATAGATGAATTTTTGTTACAGTGAATGTATCTGTTTATGTCCTGTTTTTATAGATTATAATCATTATAATTCTATTCTAAAACTTGTGACATAACCGGCTCAATGGATGTTAAAATTTCAGATCAGAATCACACTATCGTCTTTTGAATAGGGTCAGCTATAGCACACCGAAGAATGCGCGGCGGGTAAAATTTAACAAATATCCCATAGAAAATGAGCTATGGGTCAATAGACACGTTTACCGAACATGTAATTAACATGGTATAAAACGATACAAGATGGCTTTATAGATAGAAAATGGAAATGATGGGGGATAACATAGTTATATAACAGTCTATTCTCAATGCGAAAACTTTAGATAATGATAACAATTTTCGTGAAATTTAATTTGTTATGTCCAAAAGAAATTACTGGTCATCTTAATATAAAAGTCTTTGAAGACAATAAAACTAACACCTACATGGAAATTATACTATAAGAAACATTTGTATGGTCACATGAATTAATAGGTAATGTAAAAGACCGCGGGTCGTGTAATAAAATGTAGGGTTTTATTCTTTAAGCATATTTATAATATAGTGTTGTGCCACAATAAATTCCCAAATAAAGTCCAGGTGTTTATTTTTTCAAATAGGTTTTCTTTTGGTCAGTTATTCATAGAGTGGTCGTTGCGGTATGATAAATAAAATGAATTTAAGTGTTTAAGCCGTGTGAAGTTTTGTAAAAGTAACGTTTTTATGACTTTTTTGTGAAGGCGGTGTCTTTGACGATATTCTCAAATAATACTCTGTAAGATTAGTAGTTTCTTAGTATATTGATATCCAAATTAAAGGTGGATATATATTTCATAAAGTATCATTCATCCATATTGTTCACATCTATAATGAACGACTTTGTCAGCTTAAACAGAACACATGTTCTAAAAAGACTCCGACCTAACATGATCATGTTGACATTTTAATATATACATGTATAAAAAAATTCAGAGAAGTAGGAAATAACAAACATTTATGAAATATTATAGAGTTAATGAAACATACTTTTGCAATAATAACAAATTAGTGAATGGTTATTCTATATCCTAAAATTGCAAAATTCTGTAACTACTTCCGGATTTCAATTTTTACGAGTATATCATTTGTACTCCACTGGCCGTAAAACACAAATATTTTCAATTTGTATTGTACAGTTTCTAATAAATTTCAAAACGTACTTGAATTACAACATTATTTACTGTTACTTTAATAAATATATGTAGAACTGACAATTACAAAATGCCTTATATTTAATTTCTTAGGATAATTCCTTATATACAATACTGCTTACTGCACTAACAAATTTAGAAATATGTCTTAAGTTATTAGCGTTATTGTCATGTGCTTTCGACAAACAATCTCCCCCAAAACTATAAACTAATTTTAGTCAGTGACACATTGTGCTGTTCTAGGCATAAAACTGCCAGACTTTTGCATTTTGATCAGTGTTTTTGTTGAAGTCATATATCTAAGTGTTTTATATCGCGAATAAAGTGATAAACTATTGAAAGTGGTAATTCTATCGTTTTGAACACGTCTTTTACCAACGATAATAAGGAAACGACATGTACAGCCGGGCTAAATATACGTTAGATTTGATATATTTCCTTAGTATCACGAAGTGTGATTTTGAATTTATGCTCTCTTTTTACTTCTAAGGGTGCAATTTGAACTGATTCAAACCATCATGGAAATGATAGATTTATATTCTCACTGTTCAAAATCGATCGGGCGATGTCAGAAGCTTGGCTTGATTGACGCATTTTAATCTCAAAAAAGTACGCGAAAAGTGGTTTAATTGATGAAAACAATTTACAATAGAACCGGGATAAAATTTCGTTGAAATATAATTCGTCATCGTTGGCATTTTAATACGAAACAAATGTATAACAGAATTAAGACAGAATGTTTCATTATAGTATTCAAAAACTGTAAATCTCGTCCGATAGGCTCTACAACAAAACGATTTGTTTTCTCTTTTCTTCCATGTTCTCAAAGAAATAAAGTTAAAACATTTTCACATTTGGCATAGTTATTGAAAGAATTATGTCAATTTGAAATTTAACACGCAAACACATGAACTTTACTTTACGAATATTTACTCTGTCTTTTTGAACATTTCGATTGTAGAATTTAATTCAATAATAGATTAAACTTATTCACATGGTAATAATAATAACAACCTTACCACGGAATCCTGGTCAATGACTTTGGTCATCATTTTAAATTTTTGGCATTAATTCAAAATATCTTTGCTAAGATCTCTTATATTATCTCTTATTTTGCTCCAACTTCTTAACTTATACCTTAAAATATCTAGCATTCAGAAACATTCTCATTTTCAGATTTCTTGCTTTTTGTAATTATTTTAATTTCTAATTTCAATATTATTTAATAATTTTGTGCTTTTAAGATTAAAAAGATTAATGAAACTTCTTCCTGACTTGAACTTGATTTAGGACAAATCTTGAAGATACAGCATTGACGATCTTTTCTGTATAGGAACAAACGTAATTAATTACCGACATGTATATTTTATATTTTAGGAACATTTATGTTTGAATGTTTGCTTTTGAAAACTAACGCTTTTACATATAATGAAACATGTCCTGTTATGCTTGCTTGTTGAATCAATGACCTTGTTTTTCTTCTACAATGGCACATACATTTGTGATGCTTGTTGAATCAATGACTTTGTTTCTTCTACAACGGCACTTACATCTGTGAGCACTTACATCTGTGATCCTTCTCGATCAATGGCACATACATTTTGATGCTTGTTGAATTAATGACTTTTTTCTTCCACCATGTAACCTTCATTTGTGATGGTTGTTGAATTGATGGCTTTGTTTCTTTATAAAATGACACATACAATTTGATGCTTGTCGAATCAATGAGTTTGTTTCTTCTACAACGGCACTTACATCTGTGATCCTTCTCGACTTTG